AAAGAAAACTACCAAAATAAGGTCAGTTAAATGAACCGTATTCCTCCGAACTTTAATTCCTAAAGGTTTGCTTTTTATGTTTTGATGTTGAATTCACTTTTTTGATGACAATTTTAGGTGTACTAGTTTTTTTATGTTGGGGGTGTGGCTTATAGTCTGAAAAATACGGTAGTTGTTTGACAAGATCACTTTAGCCCCCAGTCTGTCCCTCTGCCCATCTATCTGTTCACCTTGAGATTATTTTAAAAATGAAGGCCTGTGAAGATTCCAACAAAYCTGCYAACAGTCGGTCACTAMTGAATGGYGACGGGGRACATCAGCAACTGATGGCATYRAGTTCTATTTGTTTGTATTTGATTTTTGTTAAAATCTGTCTTAATTTGTGTCTTATTAACCAAGAAAGAGAAAGCCCCTTTACATTTTTATACATACAGTACAGGTAAGATGGCTGTGGTACTTTTAATTATTAATTCAGCAACTTTCAGAAGTTCGTAAGCCCTCTACAAAACGTTATCCCCTTCTGCTCTTTCTCTATCTAGTGAATTTTTTATCTTTCTTCATCTCATGTCTTATTCTCAAGTTTTATGTGCYCGGTGTGCTAATTCAAAGAGTCAAGAGCTGCTTGAACCAAACTAAGATATCATCCAAATAAGTTTATTGGTCTTTCTACTGACATATACCTAAAGGTCTAAAACCGCAAGCTGATATATTAATCATATGAATAAAAGTGCAATTAAACATGACAGAAATGTTAAGTTTTTCATTTAACTCAAACAGTACATAGAAACCCTAAAATAAGCAAAAAGATGTGTTTGAATTTGTATTCAGAACCTGTCTTCATGCTTCAGAAACTTATTTACCTTAACGTGGCTGTATTCAGCCTTTCCAGACTCGCTGCTAATAGACTTGGTGTCAGACCTGGGTTTCAGGGCTTGTCGGAATGGACTGCAGATCATCAAACCTGTCACACTGATCCCATCTGAGGAAATCATATAGAAGGAAAAAAAAACAAGAGAAAAAATAGGACATTGTCACCCAGAAGATGGCAGACCACCATAGTGTCACTCAGTTATCATGAGACTTTAGATAAGATACCAATATTTATACCATGATATCATACCATGATATCATACCATGATATTTGTACCATGATATCATACCAATGATAGATAAGAGCTGTAAAACAGTGTAAAATTTAGTGAAAGTTGTCAGGGCCTTGACTCCAAGGCTTATGATCAGTCCAGTTGTTTTGTTTATCCAGTTCTGTCTGAACAATAAAACCACTACAGCTTTTTTTTATTACTTTTTTTAAAACACAACAGCTGAAGCCGCTGTGGACGATCCACCCATAATCACACCCAGAGTGAGGGACACACTGAAACAGAGAGACACACACCTGAGCAGAACTGAACAGACCTGATCCAAATAGAGGAATGCTCATAGAGAAGGGGCTTCAGGGCTGCAGTATGCTGCAGCTGAACTGCCGAAATCGTGCCGAACTCTCGCAGTTTCATGACAAAAACTGTGTCATTCTGTTCACATTGTTGACATTTTGGCACCTTCTTGTCACAACCCGCAGGTCGAACTTTTCACCCCCTCCACATAAGAACACATATGAACTTTATTGTGTGATTGGTCAGAAGTTGGTGGGAGCGTTTGTGCTGGAAGCACTCAGGCGCTGCATTTTCTTCAACCACTCGCTTCAACAACAACAACAAAAAAAAAAAGAAAAGAAAAGTGACTCGCTTCCAGAGCAACTGTTTTACCAGGAAGCAGTGGTTTATATTCAAACGACCAGAAACTCAAGAAAGGGGATAAAACAGATGTTTTCCATAGTGGAATCTGACTGATAAAACCTTTGGAGCTTAATTAATTAATAAAACTCAAAGAAAGCCAAAACAGCAACTAATTCCAGAGATTCACACCAGCATARCATTGCTTTATTGACAAATGTATGTAAGACCTGTATCAATCTAAGAAAATACTAAAACATTTGTCCTAAGCTAGAAGCTAACTGAAACTTATTTTCATTTGTTTGGTAGTTCATTAAATAAGTTAATTTGATCAAATCAGAACTCTATATTTCAAATTTAGGAGTATGAACTAATGTGTTCATCAGTCAATGCAGCAAATACACAAAGATGAATTCTGAGATTGTTGAGGTTTAACAGCCTGCTCCACTCACCATCATTGAGGTCCTGCAGCAGGTTCTCCTGACCAGAAAAGTCCAGCTTGACTTTGATGKTGATGGTCAGGGTCACGGTGTGGCCTGGCTTCAAAGGCAGGTGGCTCAGAGCTTCCTCTAGCTCCCAGCTCAGAAAGCCACTAAACACTTTTTCTGCATCCACGAAAATAAAGAAGAAAAAAAAAAAACACTTTGAAACACGTTTCACATTTTGAATATAAAAATTACGTCAGGGAGGTAATGTTGCTAAACTTGGCATATTTTATGTTTAGGTATTCATACCTCTAAAATATTTCTATAGTTTATCCTTACAAGGTTGGTTATTTCATTTAATTAAAAAACTATTCTTTAAAAAAAAGGAACTCTTAAGAAGAATGAATGGAGCAAAATGTTTGAAATAATGTTTTATAAAATCTCAAACTCTATGTAAACTTGTGTTTGAATATGTATTTACCGTTCACACTACCACTACCTTCAGAAGACAAATAATTAGTTAAATAAGATCCACCTGTCAGCAATCTAGATGTTAAATGATCAATATGCACATACTTAAATAACAGTTCCTAAAAACAACACCGGTTCAAAAATTAAGCTGTAATTAATGAGAAGAAAGAAACCTTGATTGAAACCTGTTAGATTTAGTCTAACATATTCTCCATTCTTTAATAAGAACATATAACATTCTGCTCAATTTTTAACAACTGAGATGCAAACAGCTAAAGGAAAAGAATAGGTGAAAATGCAGTTTTTAAATCAAYATGTGAGCTCACCTTTGGTGTTGGTAATCTTGGAGGTCAGCTCCAGAGTCTCGATGTCTTCAGAGCCAATATTCTCTAAGACGATGGTGAGCTGCTGGGTTTCTCCGTTGAACAGCTGAAAGGACACCGAGTTGGACAGTTCTTCTTTTGACATGGGCTGAGGTGTGTGAGCTGACCTGAGTGTGTAGACACAGAAACACAAATAAACGTTTGACACATTGTATCCCAAAAGCAAAACAAAAGCCCAGTTCAATGTTTGTGTCGATTTGAATTGTGGTGGAAAGAAAATCTACCCAGAAAAACTGCAAATATTTAAAAATTTACTAAAAACTACTAGACTCATAATACACCCCCATCACACGTTCATGTTCATGTGTCTGAAGGGTTTTGTTGTATATTACAAATGAAAACAACCACTCRTTTAAAGATAAGGAAGAGCTCAGATACAACTGAAATCAAAAACAGCTCTACTGCTTATTTTTATTCTTTTTTATTTTTATACTACAAACTGACATGGTGACATTTTGTATCAGTTGGGTACATAGTGGTTACCACATATATAGTTCATGTTCCATTTTTTAATAACCTTTAAGTTTACATTAGCTGAATACACAGCCACTTTGCCTATTTTCACTGCAAAACAATCACAACAAACTATTAACTGTAAAGTATCACAGTGCAAACAAGAAACACAATTATAATTACAGTAGACTTTTTTCAAGTTTAAAAGGAGTAATAACAGGGAAAATGATTGCTCAGATGAGTAATAATATAAATGAGTAGCAGTACAAATGGTTGTTCAGATGAGTAATGACAATGAATAATAACAGTAGTGTTTCCCCTAGAATACTGGTCTGGGTTGGGCGGGGTTWTACAAACATAAATTTGAACGACTCACCTTCAGTTATAGTAATAAATTTATAAATATGTGAATATTATAATATATAAACCACTACTTCTGTGCAGACAGCTGGATCCTATATTTAATTTAATGTACTTACTGGTAATCGTGGTTTAGTGACATTTTGGATTTATTTGAAGGGATATAAGACCTGAAACCTACTATAGYTAAAAAAAACTAAGTTGATCAAAGATTTTATGGTCAATGTTTGTTACCGTTGATTATTGAATAACAGTTTTTAAAAACCAAAGAAACATCATCAATGTGTGAATTAAAATCACCCAATTTTAAATCATTCTTCAACAATCCTTAAACACAGCTGCTAATCTTCACAATCAGACCATCAGTCTGAGCAGTTAATGGTGAGCTCAGCCTTACCTTCACATGGTGGACAAACAAGTTCCACATTAAAGGGGACCTATTATGCAAAATTCACTTTTTAAAGGTTTTTTTTACTCAACTTTGGGTATGTACTTC